AACAAAATATTCAGAGCGTTAGCCGGCAGCACCTGGGGTAAATACAAAGAAACTTTGCTGGCAACTTATAAAGCGATCGGCCGGCCGGTCGTAAATTATGCTGCACCGATCTGTGCACAGGGGACAAAAGAGACGTAGATGAAGAAGCTGCAGGCTTGTCAGAACACCGCCCACAGAACTACGACAGGAAACCTCCTGATGTCGCCAGAGCATCACTTGCACAGCGAAGCATCTATGCTAGGAGTTTCCTGCGGTAGCATCCCAATAGGCACCTAATAGAATCTGAACCTTGACCTAGGCACATTAGAAAGGGAGTACTAGATCTAAGGGACACAATCCAGCAACACGTGCAACAACCGCTGGACAGGACGGCGTACAGGCAAGCACTGAACGCCATTCACCAGGAGTCAGTCAACGCCTTCAAGGAATCCGTTCCAACGAATGACATGCTCGGAGAAAAGTCATCACCTATAGCAGACAACGAGCTCGAGCTGCCTCGAAAGACCCGCGTGACGATGACACAACTCAGGTCTGGATAATTTAGGAGGTTAAACTCCTTCTTATCAAGACTAGACCCCAGCATACCCAATGTATTCTTTGCACAACACTAACCGCCTCTTCACACGCCCTCTCAAACCAACTCATCTAACTTCCCACTCCATTTGGTCCAACGCCGTCGAAAAAGCTCGTTTCCTGGACCTCCCATTAGATGACCTCGGCGACTTAGATTGATCAAACCTGTGCCTAAGCGGAGTTAGCGAACCGCTACAACAACAACAACAACCAGATCACACATGCAAGCTTGTGCGTGAATTTTTGACCAAAACCGTTATCATGCCTCAACCACCGTATTCACCGGACTGGCTCACGCTGACTTTTTGCTCGAAACAGGAGCTATTCGGGATACCAAAAAACTCGTTTCAGAAATGTTTCGAGGATTGGAATAAACGCTGGAATAAGTGTATTATATCTGAGGGGATAACTTTGAATGGGACAAGATATTAAGTACTTTCTGATCACACCTCGTATACCCAAAATTCTTTTATACATACATACATATGAATGTACCCAGTAGATATTGTATTATTTCATATCGATGAAGGCTGCATGAACAATCACCTATGTAAGCATGTCAGTACAAATGAGTTTCTATTTCTTTTTACCACGTGAAGTTCCCAGCTCTATTTAAAAGTAATAACAGAGCATACATACAAAATTTCATAAAATATTTGTTTGTTTCATACTACATTTATTGTTTATAAATATACATACACACATAAATATGTACATATATACGTATATGCAAACTTCTATTTGCAATGTGCGGGATATAGTGACGATATTTCAAAAGGATTTTATCATATTATTCCATATGTACATAGGGGCTTAGAGCTGAGCGATGAAATGTTACAGAAAATATTGTAAATAAAAGAGCACAAGAGACCTACGGTCGCGGTGCAAATCCTTCCTTCTACATATATAGCTATGTATGTAAACTCGTCACCAATAATAATATTGTAAATATGTATGTATGTATGTATACACCTACGTTCGTAAATATAATTTTATTATTTTATTTTCAAATTTGAAATGATGAAAGTTTTTTGAAACTTTTTCTCGATTGAAAAATGTAATGAGAAGTTGTTCTATTTCACATTTTAATGAACTCTTCATGCTTCTTCACACATGCATAATAAATTCTTTTTGTTTGCAAAATTTTTTTTTAAACTGGGTAATACATAGTATGCATGTCAATATATATATGTATATATGTGTATGAAAATAAATTTAAATTTAAAATTGATTTACACATGACAAGGCGAAATGGGCATAAAAGGAAAATTGCTTATGAATTTTTCATTTTTATCGATCATCAAATGCTAATAAGAATTCGCTAGTGATATGCACACATACTTACACGTGTACATAAGCAAACAAATTTCAGACGCAGCGCGAAATTCCTCCCAGCTCACACCTTTTATCAAATAAAAGAGTAGTCCATAAACTTGAAATAACCACGTTTCGGTTTTCTCAGCAATTTTCTTTCTACTTTTTTGTTGTTGGCGCAAAGAACACGTGAGCTAATTCCTTGCTCGTCATTACATCTGGCCGAACTCTCAGCTATTATCTAGATAATAACAGTGCACTTCCATAAATAAAATAAAAGAGAATTTTGTTGTTGATTGGTAAAATTATTTTGAATAACGGTTTAGAAAATTTATTAGTTAAAGGATTCACAATGTGACATGCCGCTGATATAAATCTCATGGCCTAATTTATTAAAATATACAAACTTACACTTGTATGTGGGTATATAACAATGTTTGTTTCGAAAGTAGGACCAAACAAGGTGCGAGTATTTGCTTCCAATCGGCCAATTATCCTTATTCTCGGTTAAATTTTTTGGGGTATGAAAGTGAAGCGGACAAATCTGGTAGGACGAGAGGACAGCTCGCTAATTGGCTTTGTTTTAATAGGATCCAATCAACATCAATACTAATGTCAGTAAAGTGAAGTCCTCTCTCCCTATAAACCTATAACCTAACGTTACCAGGAATTTAAAGATGCCTCTACTCCATCTCTTGGAAGATAATTTTAAGCCTCTGTTATTCAAGTTAACGGTTGGATATTCTGTCCTGGTGAAAGCCTCTACTGGGAAATTTGGAGGTGGAAGTCTTATTTTCCAGACATATTTTCCAGTTTTATTTTCCGGCAATAAGACAGTGTCTCTTGATTTCAGAAAAAGCCTAAAATCTACGAGCAAATCCCAGCACACACGACTTTTGTGATAAAAGAGTTCTGAAAAACGCTCGTGAAAAGAATACTAAATACTCAGTTTGTATCAAGAATTGCTTCCATTTTCTAATTTCAAGCAGACTGATGCCAACTCTATAACCTCTATCATGCTACAAGTTGAATGAAGGGTCCTTCAATTAGGTTCGGTTAAAGTCGTAGAATTTTCATTTCTGCTCTCAAGTTCATTTCATGCCATTCTCACCCTTTAGCTCCCTTCACCTTCCATTCTCCTCTACTCATAAAATTACCACTACAATTGAATGTTTGCTGTGTAATTAAATAACAATACATTTCCCTTTGATACCTTCAATCACTGATAATGCCATTGACAGCGAAAACACATTTATCATTTACTTACTTCAATTATCACATTTCTACTGTCTTTGCTGTCGTCGTGTGTTAATAGATAATAGATAGATTTTCATTTCCAAATACCTCAGTGGCCGATACAACTATTTTACCCCAAGGATACTAAGAAACAGGGTAGGCGGACAGTACTAAGCCAAGGTGTTCATCATTCAGGTTTTGTAGGTAATATTTAGGTCACCGAGATGAAATGAATTCGAAATCTCAACTAAGCGACCATTGCAACCAAGCGGACGACGGAGCAACTAAAAGTTTAATTGTCATGTAAACTGAGTATTTGGAGTCGGGCAATAAAAACACATACTAGTATACACACAAATGCACTCTTATCGGTAAATAATAACTACCCTATAGGGAAATTGAACCGGAGTGGTTTCGAAAAGGTTACAATAAGACAAATGCAAATTAATCAATTTTTTTTCTTCGCTTTAAGAATATTGAATGCGGCCGTGATTATTTCTTAATTTAACTAAGAGCATTCTGAAGGCTATACTGAAGGAATGACAGAAAACTCGAATACTAAATACGACGATATTTCGAAGTTTTCAGGAATGGAGAACAACCTGCAAGTAAGAAGATAGAGACAGTAAAATCCGTCCCACAGCCTAATTTCTTGGTGATGATCAATTACCAGGACTAAGTCCTCTTTATGTTGAAAAAAAGCCAGACCTGCTTAACCTGAAGCATGTTTCTCTTCAGACACATACCACAATTGGAGTAGAAACTGTTAGTGAGGTTCCATCCTTTGGCAAAGATAGTTTTACGTCTAGACCCAAAGCATCCAGGAGTCTACAATTAATCTTTTCAGGGGAAGAGTGAAGCTCAATCGGTCAGCAAATATTTGGAGATCCACAGTCACTAACATCCGTGAGAAGTATACACTCTCTGACATGGGCGAAATACTACTGAGTCAGAACACCAACTTCTATTCCTTATTCCACAAAGAAGACTGCCTACTCCATCGGAGAGGCTCGTGCTCATACTAAAAGAAGTATGTAGTTGCGGATAATCTAGTCTTAAGCAGGGTTTCGTGGTGTGGATTGCCACTGAGAGTATACAGCTACCTTGAGAATACAATACTATTTTGCCAATAAATTCGTTGTCATGCTACCCTGAACCCCTACGCCCTGTACAGTATTCGAAATCAGGTAACTGCAACTCAATTAAATTAAGTGAAACAGAGAATAAAAGTGTCCCATTTATTTACATAAATGTAAATTTGTAACCTGCAGGCTGCACTTGACAGGACACAGGACACCTCAACAACAACAACAAACTGCAACACACAACCAAGTACCAAAAGTAAGCCAAGCGAAATGAAGACAGTTGTAGTGACACAGTTGTGTGCCTAAAGGAACAGGGACAAAGGCGACAGGAAAAAAAAATCAAAGCATAAATAAATGACAAGAGTATTGAGACTGAGGTGTATGTTTATAAAATGTGAGGCGCTGACGAGGTGAAAAGGGATGCAGGGAAACGTGGCGCGTAAGAGGCTGCAGCTCACAGTTCTGCGGACTAAGGTAATTGTTGCTGGATTAGCGTAGGCGTAGAGAGCAAAGAGTGACGTGTGGAGAACAGAGGGCCTAACACAATGTAGGACAATACGTTACGCTAAGCAAACACATACACAGCCATACAAGTATTCACTCGAGCTCCCAAGTACTCGAACAATGCAATATAAAAAGGATCAGCGAGGAAAAATGAAAAATAAATAAATGAAATGTAAATAAATACTTTGGAGGCCTTAAGAAGTGCTGACAGTTGAATTAGACACGAAAGTATTTATTTAACATTTATGTACTTCCTACCATCTCCCACCCACTTCCGCGTTCACTTACCTCGTAGCGTGTATCAATTTCGGGCAATTTCTCCAGAAACTCTTCGACCATGATTCATCAAGACGTCCAGGGGAAATTCAGCTACCTCGTCCAGTAATAATTTACTCGCTTATTCTTCTTATCTTTTTGACTTCTAAGCTCACACTTTATAAAGTTTTATTTATTTTTAAAATGACAACACAAACTTTATATTGTATGTGCGGGCGCTATAATTCCAATAAAAATTTGCACACTTTAACACTTGTTGAAGTACAGAGGATATGCACGGATTAAATGTGATTACACTGTTTGCAATAGCCAACTTATTTGCTTTACACAAACGTCCGACCACACGCCCAACACAACGCCCCGCCTCGTGCACACACTGTTCGTTGTGAACTGCGCAAATCGCGTTTTTGCAATTAGTCTTCTAGAAGGATGCTTTAACGGCTGGCTCTACAGACGAGTGTTGTCGTTATTGTTGCTGTTACACACACACACGCACTCATACTTCGTCCGATGAACTCAAACATGCCTAAAGACTAACCAATCAACTGACTAACTAACTCACTAGCCACTAGCCATCAATTCTATCATGCGGACACGTACTGCACGTTTGGAGACACACAACAACGTGAATTATTCAAATGCAAAAGCTAAATGCTTTGTGAGTGTTTTCTTTGTGAGTTGGGCATATACTGCAGAGCCGCCAAAAATTCCAAACTCCCAGCAAGCAAGAGCTCCTCGTTTGAGTTTTTGCGACCAAAACTACACGCCAGTCTTCTAGAAGATAACACAACACAACACCACAAACACCAGCCGTTAGCTGAGCTCAGTCAGAGAAACTATAATGTCACCAATATGCGGCGACCTCTGCCAGTGCACAAGTCGAACTGAGCATTCGACAAGGAGCCAGCTTGTCTATATGATAAAAATCGAAAGGACACCACTCGTCGGACATATTTAGTGGTGGCGTGTGAAAGTTGCAAATGTCTGCTGCTGCTGCTGCTGCTGTGTGCTGAGCAAATCGCACACATACACGTATATGTATGCCGCATGTTAGCAACAAACCAGCTACCGACCCCATCAGCCGAGTTGCCGAGGTGGCATCGGCACCACGCTAAAGTACTCGATTTATTTGAGTCGTCGAGTCGAGAGTCGTAAAGTCGGAGATTGTGTCGCATTGATGCTACTTCCATATGTACGTAAGCTTGGATGTATTGTATGTATGCCGTACCGAACTGTTTATGTTGTTTAACTGATTTCGCATATGAGTGCTTGTTGATGTTGCTGATGTTTTGAGACGAAGTAACGAGTAAATGAGCATTAAATGTGTACGAGTTGTTGCTGAAGCATCCGGGCGCACAAATGAGCACCAAAACTCTGAGGCGAGAGCGGCGAGTCAATGGCCGCAACCAAAAGCAAATAACGAGACGAGAACAGGGGTAGAATAGCGAGAAATTCTGGAATAAATATATTATTTTGTAAGTCAACACAAAAATTATGAATCAAAATCTAGAATCGGGTAGCAAACGCGTCACCGACAAGAACTTAATTTTTCCACCTCACTTAATCCTCATTTTGCTTAGAACTAAGTGCCGTCCAGGTCAAATTCTTATGACTTACCATTCTGCTTTGGAGAAATAAGAATAAGCAAGAAGTCTCCTCTACCTAAGTAATCGCAGTTTAAGAGGTACTTTTTTGGATCTGCAGATGGAGCACTTCGAGCATGTGCAAGGTAGAATTAAAAGGATTACGGGCAAATGAAACTCTTGGCGAACTCTGAACCAACTGACCAGGAGATTTTTTTCTTGGCTACGGGAGACAGCAACCGATGACGGCACAATTGAAAATCTGTTAAGATTTCCACCCTGACTTATTTTAGTAATTATCTCTTTCGTTGTTGCAGAAAATTTTTCTTAATCAAAACTTCAAGAATCCAAGATGCTCACATCACTCGTTATAGCAAGCCAAGTTTTTGTTTGCCCTTACATACAATAAAATATTTTAACTCTGCCAAACAGTTAAATAAATAATAACAAATAAACTGTCTACCTCCTTCATCAGCTGAATTATTTAAATTGAATTATTTAATATAAATTTAATAAATTTACACAGAAATACATAGTTGCATTAACACTAACAGCAGATGCTACATTAACTCCTTAGGAAACACTGTTGGAGGTAACATTTTAATTACTATACATTAACATAAGTGGCCATTAACAGCAAAACTGTACACTACATTAAATCATCAAGCTCAACAAAAATCTTACAGTAAAGTAGTAAACTGACCACTTACACACTTCGTTGGCATGTTTAGTGGACTGTCAATGAATGGTACAATTCGCTCTCCCTCTTTCTCTCTCCTTTAGCTTAACTTAATAAACTCAAAATTTAATAAACGCTGGCAGTGTCACTCGCACGCTCTCCCTCGCTCAGTTACTCTACTGATTGCAGATAATCACTATGCACAGCTTCACGTGTTCATGGCTTTGCCGCCGGGCTTTCGCTCTTACTAAGCTGTGAAAGCAACAGAGTTCATTTTATGTGCTACACCGCGTATGTGGAACATTTTTGATGAAAGAAAGAAATTCTCTTACGCTTAGTTAGCAGCAACTTACCACCAGCTCATACCACCTTGTAACTATTTTAATGCGTTGAAATGTGAATCCCAGTGCATGAGTGCATACTCAGCGGCGTTGCCAACGCAACTGTTGTTGATGACGCCACTGCTGCTGCCACTGCTGCTGCCACTGCTGCTGCTGCTGACACTGTAGCTGTTATTGCTGCTGACGATAGCATTCTTCGTATTGCAGATGTGCATACATCCAACGTCATCAAAGGCGATGATGCGATTATGAATATGGTTGACAAACATCTTCGTATATATACACATACGGACATGTATATACAAATAGGGACATCCCTGCACCGAAAAAATCACGAGTGCTGCTCAGCACTCTGTTGCATGTACATACAAATTTTGAGGAGCACATCCATGTAGCACAGATGCATTTACGAGTATATGAGAGTATATTTACATGTACATATGTCGAGTGGATGCACTTAATTGCAGGCGCAATCACACTTAGTATCTGTCATGCAGTGAACTAGCGTAAAACTGCTTCCAAACTGGCATGTGAAGCAATGAGTTTTATGACTGTCACTGTTAATCTCAAACTAGATCTTAACGGTGGAAAACAGTCCTATTTTTTACCTCTAATTCATATTATAATTAAAAAATATATTAATTTCAAAATATTTGGTTATTCGGTAACGAATGTAGTGCCGTGTCCTATTAATGATGTAAAATATAATAATTTCATTATATAATTATAAAAAAAAATATGAAAATGGTATAAAATTAATTATATTATCTTTAAAGTTTTGTATAAATTATCAATTGAAATTTCTTTAAGTAGTACCAGTTTGACAATTTCCAGGCTAGTGAGGCACAGCACATTCCATTAATGAACTAGTGCTTTTGCTGACTACATTAAAATTTCCCTGTAGCATGCCAATGAATGTATGTATTTATGCACGAATCTGCTCAAAATTTCCATGCTTCGGCGCAGGAATACAATAGAATGCCAGAAGTGCTAAAAAGTGTGCAAGTATAAGAAAACAAGACATAAATATTTTAAAACCAGCCGTCCATTTCACTTATATATGCATACATTCGTATATACATACAGTTCAAAAAAAAACTTCTTTAGATAGTGAATCTTTAATGATAGTCCAATTTAAAAAGCATTCATATAATTATAAGTCATTAACAGTTTGATGACTAGAGGCATTCTTATATTGTATTTTCTGTGTTTCATTTTTAAAACTATTCCAGTATAAAAGAAGTAAGTGCACTGTCGACAAAATAAATAATTAACAAATTTAATACACATAATTTCAAGTTTCTACGACGTCCCGTTTATTTTCTTAATTTGTTTCTCAGCTTTGATGTTGAAAATATAAGAGTAGTAAACCACTGTCTTTAACATTATCAGCATGTCTCCCCTAAAATGAACTTTACCTCCACCACCACCATACAGGAACCCGATAATTCGCGATTACTGCTCAAGTTTCTACGATAACATTTAATAACTTCTCGTATGGACTGTGAAGATGAAACTCCTCCATTAGCCATTTTCAGTCGGGTGACACCACTTAGCGAGATATAAATGTTTTCGTGGGATGAAAATCCTCAGGGACACTACATTTGCCGGTGGTGCTAATCCCAGGGTCAAGAATACCTAACAACGGTTTACAGACTATGTGTGTATGTGTGCGTTTCCGCATATTCATAAACATTCATGTTCAAACAGTTTCGCTTTGAGATAGCTAAACGAATATGCATAAAGCAAAATTCATAAAATGTGTCCGTATAATTACATTTTAAATGTGCATTTTTAACTTAAAGTATTTCTTATAAATATGTACATATGTATGTACGTATGTGTTATTAAATTCAAATTACATTTAGATGTACATACATATGTACATATGTTTTCTTGTCTAGCTTTAGTCCAAGGCAACTTCAGCTAGCTACTTTAAATTTTATATGTAACATATTGGCACCCATATGTCTTTTCCAGATGAGCGTTTTCTCTAAGTTTATACCGAGGAACGGCCGGAGCCGATGGAACAATGAGCTATACGACATATACGCCAACATTGACATGTCTACTCTGGCGAAATCATGTAGTCCGCAAGGGATAAGAATATAACAGCTTTGAAAGTTTTCGATGCAATACCCCTGGTTGATACCCCTGGTGGAAGAAAAGGGTGAGGATGACTTCCCCCCAGGTAGGGATGAACCTGTATATAAATGGTACTACTTCAAATTGTCGCCAAACTGCGAAAAGAAGAAATGAATGGCACAATATTAGTAATTCGAGGGATTCTCGTAACCGATGTCTACACCCATAAACAAGAAGAAGAAGAAGAAGTATTCAGATGAATGTTACACTATTTTATCGATGAATATATATACCGTTTAAATGAATTGAAGGACTTGTTAGAGTAATGAAATTTAACGTGTTTTTTTCCAGCTTAACAGCCATTCTTTGATTAGGAGGATATTTATACCGGCACAATATAGTTGTTCGGCTCACTGGGATGTCTGCAGTGTATATAATGCCATATCATAGACCCATGAACGCTACCTTAAGGATCATCACCCTTTAATGGAAGCTCTTCAATGATAAATTCCAATCGTTAGACAGAATAGATTCAAATATATTAAAGTATTTGATGGGCAAAGTTTTATAAACCTTTATGGCCAACTTTGTCGAACCCTTTTGTTATTTCAAGAAATATTACACAGCAATACTCCTTGAACTCCAGTGCCTACCTAATTAACTAGTAATTCAGTGTTTAGGTATCACATTGTTATGATGGAGAAAAGGAGATGATAGCAGAATTCTTTCGAATAATTTGGATAGACAGGGCAGCAGGCTTATCGGTCTGTATTGGCTTGGCTATCTTTATTATATGTGACTTTTTCCACGTGTTTGGGTCCAATTTTTTAGCGCATTTACAGGTTTCAGGGATGATGTTTCAATCTTCAAGTAAGTTTCAAGATCGTTCTCTATTAATTCTGGTAAAATAAACAAACAATTTTTCTTTTCTTCATTACTACACGACCACATCAACTGGAAGCTTAAAATTCTTAAAGTTCAAGAGCGAATATTTTTTGGTAGTAAACGGCGTCATCATTCGACATTAGGGTCTTCTGTTTGTTTCAGCACGTTTTCCAGTTTTTTCCACTGATTTAAACCGCAAAACTGAAACAGGAAAGCGATATCCTATTAGACGCTTTTTTATTACTAACGGTTTTTAGGTTCATAATAATACATTTTCTCTTTAGAGTTTCT